ACACACACACACACACACACACACACACACACACACACACACACACACACACACACACACAGTGAAATGAGGAGCTGTTTGAGGAGTGCTGGTGTTAAATTACCAGCTGTTTACCTTAAACTGACTCAGCAGATTACTCACACACATGCATGTTTTCATCACTTCAGAGGACTTGCTTGAATTTCTTTGCACTTAACTGAACCTTGAACCTGAGTTTTCACCCTAAATTGAAATGATTCCGATTATAAGGACCTTTATTCCCAACAGGGAGCATGTCCCCGCAGGTCAGGTATCCCAGCCCGGGATAGCGTTGTGCTGTAACTGCTGTTAGAGCTCGTGGTCGTCAGGACTGAGGCTCGTTTGTACGTTATGATGAATTAATTCAAACCGCTGATGTAACATCACATGACCATCAGCTGATCAAGTTAACAACAGCAATAAGAACAACATGTATCTGTCAGACTGCCGTCCAGCTTCACACTGACCTCCTGTGTGTGTGTGTTTGTACAGCTGGGGGCAGTAGACAGGCAGAGAGGATTGTGGGAAGGCGTCTGTCCCAGTGATTTCACGCTGAGCGGTTTAAGAGAAAGGAGGATGGAGAGAGGACTAACAGAGATCACAGCTGTCACATCTCATCACACACACTCACACAGACACACACACTCACACACACACACACTCACACTTACAGACACACACACACACACACACACACACACACTCACACACACAGGATTGACGGATTCACCCAAACCAATCGGTTTTGATTATAAACACAGATGTATCAATAAGTTTGTATTGGTGTATCTGATCAATGGTCAGATAACATCAGGGATCATAAACATCTCGATGCTGGAGACAAACACAGAGCTCTAACTAACACTGGACACAGGGGAGTTTTAGTCAAGACGTCAAACTTTATTTGCACATCAGGTAAAAATGGAAGCAACTGTATGATGTGTGCAGATACGTGAATCATTACAGTCGTTACAAAGCTCTGTGGTCACTGTTGCAACAGAAGCTGTGGAGACACCTGGTGTCTCCACAGCTTCTGTTGTGAACAAAAACACTCTGATTTCGGTCACTGTTGCAACACCTGATCCACTACAGTTACATTACTGTGATGCAGCTTTGCAGCCAGATCATGCGATAAACACACTGACCTCCTTCTCCTCACCTGCCCAGGTGACTCGGTCTGTACATGCTCACCATGTGTTCTTCTTGGCTTTTATGCTTGTTTTGCTCTCGTAAGGCCTCATTACCTCACAGATATTCATGTTTCCTCAGCCGGAAACTACACACCTCTGAACGAATGACCTAGTTTCAGAAAAGCATCTGTTTTCATCACATGGCCCAAACGCAGCCTTGTAGTTAAAGTGGATCTAGTTTTCCTTACTTGCCGTCATATATCTCCTGGTCTAGAGGTGCATCTTCATATTGAGCGTGTTTCTAATAATGAGCTCAGACGTGTTCGGTCGTCCCTGTGAGTGAAAACCTCGGCCTGCTAGTAACACTCCATGTTTCCTATTCTTGTATTTGCGATATCATCTAAAGGAAATAATCCCTAATATGATTATCTGAGGCTCCACTTCCAAGTCCAGAAATAAGAATAAGAAAAGGCTCTGGAAATGCAGCAGAGCGTTAAAGTGAAACTGCACTGAGGGTCGCCATCACTCAGCTTAACAACAGGCTTACAAACCAAGTGTACACAAAGTGAGGGCGACAAGACGGCACCTGTCACAGGTACGCGCCGCTCCCTTTATCCTGGAACGCTCTCTGCTTTTACTCAGTTTGAACCGCAAGGGGCTGAGTCTATGCAGTAAATCTGACCTTTGACCTTATCAGTGTTTCCTGGGGGGGGTCATTGTTCTGGTGCCACGCCGCCCTCAAATGGTCAGATAACAGCATTACACATGTGGGACTTGAATGCACCAACATCTGGATTAAACCATACGAAGTCCACCCGCTCTGCCATCAGTGCTGCGATTCATAAAGAGTCCGTCTCAGGTTCAGTTATGCTCCTGATTGTTTTATATGTTCTTAAACTTTCTGACAGGCGACGCTTTACACCATGAGCCAGCTTGTTAATGTGACGTGTATTTAATGAGGAACTGATATGACAAAGAATGATTTACAGTTTCAAAAGTTCAGATTCGAGCAGACAGTTGAAATCTCTTAGTTTGTTTGTCGGCTTTGTGTTTCTCGAGTGATAAGGATTCAGATAAGATGGGGCCTGATTATTTAAGACCTTGTATGTGAGGAGCAGGATTTTGAATTCTGGATTTAACAGGAAGCCAAAACAGGAGAAATCTGCTCTCTTTCTAGTCCCTGTCAGGACTCTTGCTGCAGCATTTTGGATCAGCTGAAGGCTTTTCAGGGAGTTTTTAGGACTTCCTGATAATAATGAATTACAGTCGTCCAGCCTGGAAGTAATAAATGCATGAACTAGTTTTTCAGCGTCACTCTGAGACAGGATATTTCTAACTTTAGAGATGTTGCACAAATGGAAGAACGCAGTCTTACATATTTGTTTAATATGTGCATTGAAGGACATGTCCTGGTCAAACATAACTCCAAGGTTCCTCACAGCGTTACTGGAGGCCAAGGTAATGCCATCCAGAGTAAGAATCTGCTTAGATACCATATTTCTAAGCTTTTCAGGGCCGAGTACAATAACCTCAGTTTGATCTGAATTAAGAAGCAGAAAGTTAGCAGCCATCCAGGTCTTTATGTCTTTAAGACATTCCTGCAGTTTAACTCATTGGTGTGTGTTATCTGGCTTCATGGACAGATAGAGCTGGGTGTCATCTGCATAGCAGTGTAAATGTATGCTATGTCTTCTAATGATGCTGCCTAAGGGAAGCATGTATAATGTAAACAGAATTGGTCCTGGTATTTTTTAGAAGTGGTGCTTGCTGTAGTGAGCGTCGGGATCAGGTGGCCTAGAAGAGCTCTTGATAGAAACCTGATGTTGTTCATGTTTTCTATTAAGATTTATTCAGTTTTTAAAGGATTAACAGGTGTCTTTGTGTCCTGCAGGGTGCTCCTGGTTCTCTGGGTCTGCAGGGCCCTAATGGACCCATGGGCTTCCCGGGTCCTCAGGGGCCTCCAGGAGAGAAAGGCCAGAGAGGAGATGAGGGGCCAACAGGAGCTGCAGGCCTGAAAGGACATATGGTGACACCAGAGGAGCTTTACACATAGACCATCCAAACTGAAAACATAGTTTGCTTTGTAGTACACCCCTCTGAAGACGAGATACTGTTTCTGTTGTCTGACCAATCGGAGCTCTGTTAGGCCTCACATGGTATCTGAGGAGCTGTGTGGAGAACAGTTTAACCGTCTGCTTGTTGTTTACGGTTTCAGGGATCTCTTGGTGTTCCTGGTTTTCCAGGTTTGGATGGAGTTCCGGTAAGAAGCCCCGCCCCTCTCAGCCTCTTAGCTCAGTCAGCTGTGACCTAGTGATGTCCCGCTCTCGGCATCAGTTTATGTGTTTGTGTGTCCAGGGACACCCGGGACCTGCTGGAGGTCCAGGACATCCAGGTCTGGATGGATGTAATGGAACTAGAGGAGAGAAGGGGAAAGGTGGACTTCCGGGAGAACAAGGACGTGACGGAGAACTGGTCAGAAATGACAGTAACACTGATAGCAAACACTTCACTGTGGAGGGCAAGAAAGGCCACAGTAAAAATAATCAGAGCTGGAGAAACGTTCAGTTTTCCAGAATCCAGATTTTAGAGTCCTGAGAGAACAAGGACGAGGTTTTCTCGTCTTACACTGCTGTGAGCCTGTGTGTGGATAGTTGAGTGTGCTGCAGTACAGCGGGATGCAAACGTTAACCTTGTTCATAGTCATTATTTTCCTGTATAAATCGTTGTTACAATAAAAACTGTCAGTTAAATATATCATACAGGAGACGCACACAGTGATGTTTGAGAAGTGAAATGAAGTTTATTGGATTTAAAGTGTGCAAAATCAGGCAGGTGCATAAATCTGTTGTCATTTTATTGATTCCAAACCTTCAAAACTAATTATTGGACCTCAAATTGGCTCGGTAAGCTCAGTGACCCCTGACCTACATACACAGGTGAAAACAATAATGAGAAAGAGTATTTAAGGGGGTCAATTTAAGTTTCCCTCTTTTAATTTCCTCTGAAGAGTAGCAACACGGGGGTCTCAGAACAACTGTCAGATGACCTGAAGACAAAGACTGTTCAGCATCATGGTGGGAAGGACACAGAAAGCTGTTTCAGAGATTTAAGCCGTCTGTCTCCACAGTTGGGAGCATATTGAGACAAAGGAAGACCACAGGCTCAGTTCAAGTTAAGGCTGGAAGTGTCAGACCGAGAAACATCTCAGATAGACAGAAGCAACGGTGAGATCAGTCAGAGTCGACCCACAGACCAGCACCAAAGACCTGCAACATCATGTTGCAGCAGATGGAACCATTCGGCGCACTTTACACAAGGAGATGCTGCATGTGAGAGTGATGCAGAGGAAGCCTTTGCTCCGCCCACAGCACAAACAGAGCCGCTTGAGGTTTGCTGAAGCACATTTGGACAAACCAGCTTCATTCTGGAATAAGCTGCTGTGGACTGATGAAACTAAAACTGAGTTATTTGGGCATAACAAGGGGCGTTATGCATGGAGGAAAAAGAGCACAGCATTCCCAGAAACACACCTGCTGCCTCCAGTAAAATATGGTGCTGGTTCCATCATGCTGTGGGGCTGTGTGGCCAGTGCAGGGACTGGGAATCCTGTCAGAGTTGAGGGACACATGGATTCCACTCAGTATCAGCAGATTCTGGAGAATCGGAGACAAAGCTGAAGCTGTGCCGGGGCTGGATCTTTCAACAAGACAACGACCGAAACACTGCTCAAAATCCACTGAAGCTTTCATGCAGAGGAACAAGTACAACGTTCTGGAACGTTCATCTCAGCCCAGACCTGAATATTATTGAAACCTGTGCTGTGAGTTAAAGAGAGCTGTTGATGCTCGGAAGCCATCAAACCTGAATGAACGAGAGATGTTTAGTAAAGAGGAATCGTCCAAAATACCTTCAACCACAATCCAGACTCTCAGTGGAACCCACAGGAAGCGTTTAGAGGCTGCAGAAGGCGGATCTGCTAAATATTGATTTCATCTCTTTTTTTGTGGAGCCCAAATTTATGCACCTGCCTGTTTTTGTTTAAACAATTATTGCACACTTTCTGTGAATCCAATAAACTTGTGTCTCCTGTATGATATATTTAACTGATATTTTTTATTGTAACAACGATTTATACAGGAAAATAATGGCTATTAACAAGGCTGCCCAAACCTTTGCCTCCCACTGTATCTTTGGTCCAGTACTATTTGACCATCGCTGTGGTGTTTAATTCTTCAGGGTTTTCCAGGACCGAAAGGATATCCAGGAGATCAGGCGGTGTATTTCATCCGTAACCCTGGAGTGACTGTAAGTACACTTGTACTGCTGCAGGTTAGGATCAGGATTTGGCTTATTAATCAAAGCATTTCTGTCTGACAGGGAGATGCTGGGCCCAGTGGACATCCCGGTCTGTGGGTGAGTAAACAAACTGTCATGTGACACACATGCCAGCGGGTCTACAGGGAGGAAGCGTTCACTTGTAGTGGTCCTCCATCAGGTTTCTGTCTGTCTGTCTGCAGGGTGAGCAGGGCCTCTCGGGATCGAAGGGAGCACTGGGTTCTCCAGGACCAAAAGGCCAAGACGTGAGTCACCACTTAACATTTACTGCTTGAAGAAAGTAATCTGGTGTCACGTGTTCAAGTTGAGGACAGTTAAAGGGACCTGGTCTCGAGTTTCTGCTGTTCCACGTTGGGGTTTTGAAGCACAGATATAACCTGTATGGGAGTCTTGATGCATGCTTGATCATCCAGTAAATGAACACTGCTCAAACTTCCCTGTCCAGGATGTTACATCCTCATCGTTGAAGGTCCACTGGCCTGACGAGGTGGCTCTTCTGTGTTGTAGCCAGAGGTTGTTTGGTTTCCCCGATGTATAAATCCTGCACTTAACAGCGTACACTATGTTACTCTGTTTGACCCGATCCTTGGGGTGGACCAGTTTTTGGCGCAGCGTGTTTTGGGGCTCAAAAACTTCAAGTTATAACGTTTTTGGCTTTACATTATGTCTCTCCATTAAAATTAAGCTACACAAGAAGTTGGAGACTGTTTTTTGTACAACTTACAAATTCAGCTGAGAAACAAAGAATTATTTTATTAATTGCAATAATGAAGTCTTTGCTGTCTGTGCAGGGCGTACCTGGAAGCCCAGGTTCTCGAGGTCCACCCGTAAGTAATGTGCACGTAGTAGAGGCTAGCATTGTGAATAGCGTCTGAGTAATTTGAAAGACTGCGTTTTCTGACCTTTTATTTCAGAATTTGTTGTTTGTGCATTTCAGGGGGAAAGAGGTCGATCTCTGCCTGGACAGAAAGGAGATGAGGTACAACCACGCCCCCTTTCTTTTAACTGAATCAGCAGCTCGTGGACAGCCTGTCGCGCGAGGCAATAGCGCTGTGCAAAAGTCACATTAGATTACTCGTTTGGGGCAGAGCTCTGCCACATTCTTCTGCTTTGACTGATTTACCTTCTGTTTTCATTTCACTGCAAACTGTATAAATTGCACTTCACCATTGACAATTACTGCAGTAATAGAGCAGCAAGAGCAACGCGTCAGTACTGTGTAGTATGTGCCGTGCTGTAGCAGTTTGTGTGGTCCACAGGGGGATCAGGGTTTGCAGGGACCTCCGGGGCCCTTTGAGTATGTTGACCCTCCCGAAGACCTCTACATCAAAGGAGACAAAGTAGGTGGAGCCTCACTCTGTTACAGCCTATCAGATGGCACATTTAAGGGGACTTCCTGTTTTCTGTTAAACTTTAAATAGCAAATGTTGCAAATGTTGATTTCTGATATCTCTTGTTGTTGGGAGGCTTTGCTCTTGGTTTTCTCATGCTGGATATGTTGGATATTTCAGGGCTCCCGGGGGGTTAAAGGAGTCTGTGGAATTGACGGACAGCTGGTAGGTTAAATATCTTATTTAGGAACTTGAAGTTCTCTTTGTTGTTCAATTCTTGGGCACCAGGCTCACTTGAAGGTTAGGATTCTCCCGATTTATGGAGTTCAGGACTATCGCTCATCCTGAAAATTGTCATCTGTAATCTCGTGTTTGAAGGATACTCAGCTGCCGTTTTTAAACCCCACTTGGTTGTTGTGCCCCATATCTCCAAATATCATTTTAGTAGCACTGTTACTGATCAGATATTTTTTATTGAATTGTGGTCTCAGGGTCTGAATGGGTCACCTGGGATGGAAGGGGAGAAGGGGATTTTGGGGCTTCCTGGACCAAGGGTAAGATGTGCGATCAATATTAAGCAGTTTTGATCAGACTATAGACTTTAATTAGACTTGAGATGTCATCAATCTTTGAGGTATTGATGCTGAACGAACTGTGTTTCAGGGACTCCCTGGACAACCTGGTCTGCGTGGGAACAAAGGAGTTAAGGTTGGTCAAAGCAGAAGATTCCTGTTTCTACTTCTGTGCTGTTCCTCAGATCATCAGGTCTGGTTTTTCTTTGGTGTTTTCAGGGAATCCAAGGAAGCTCAGGACTCCCAGGTCTGATTGGACGAAATGGTCCTAAGGTCAGTCTGTTTCCTGTATATTTTATGTCACTGTGGATAAAAGCAAAGCTTCCCATCCATCCCAACTAAACACTAGGAACCAGGGAACAAGGAGCACAGAGCATTGTAGCACACCACGACAAAGGGCGAGAGAAGGCTCGGAAAATGTATGCAAAAGGTAACGAGGGCAAAACGAGCAGGAAGTTAACCAGAAGACCAGTAAAATGGTCCACAGACAGGTGCAGCGTCTGCATCACTGAAATTCATCCATCGTGAAAAGGACTCTGAGATTCTTGAAGTCCTACACTTTGAGCAGTTATCTGTCCATGACCTCGGACGTCTGATCTCTACCGCGCAGCTGCAGACCTCCCCGCTGCGTGGTCACCACCTGGCCAGCAGAGCCAGATCAGCAGTAAAAACCAGACACGTGATTCGTGAGAGCACTGAAACCTTTCGCCCATTCACAGACGTAGATGTTCTGTTACTAGAAGCTGTGAACCCGATGATCTGATTAGTATCATGTAAACAAAATGACCTCAGTAAAGATAAAGCTGTCGTGTTCTGTGTGTTCTCAGGGCGAAAGGGGAGATCCCGGGCCTCCAGGCAACCCCCGGGAGGAAGACATCACGTACACCGGTATGGATCAATGCACCAATCAATCAGCTCTTTCACAATTCTTCTTCTCTGGTGTCCAATGACTACTTTATGTCTTCTAGGTCAAGTTGGGGATCCCGGGTCACACGGCCCGCACGGCCTTAATGGAGACAGGGGGCGGATGGGAATACCCGGCCCCCCAGGACCGCCTGGCAGATCAATAGTTGGTGAGTACCTGCATATTTTACTGTTTCTGTAGCAATGTGAGCTGGCAAACATCTCAGCACAGCGCGATGACACAGGTGAAACATCTTTATATGATGGAAAAATACGCTATCACTGAGTATTGGAGATCTTTCCTGACAGATATAAATCATCATCAGAAAAACCGTCTGGCATAAAGTTCTGTCAAATCAATAAAGGGAAAGCTTCCTGCTGTGGATAAAGGAGCAGAGTCTGGGTCAGAGGGTGGGTGAGGTGGTGCTTCCTACCTGATGTTCAAATGGTCTCAAACTTTAAAATCGTATCGGAGAGTTTTTTAAGATTTTACGCGCTATTACGAGTTTGTGTAGTCAGATTACAAATGGGATGAGACCGCAACGTTGGGTCATTATCTACCACTTTGGGGGGTTTAATGATGATGAAGTTGGCGAGGTGGTCTGAGACTCATGAGGCCAGATTTAAGGTGGTAGCAGCCTGATGTAAGGCAGTATGAGGTTGCTGTGGTGAGATTATTTTCTCAGCTTCTTGTTACTTTCAGTTGCTGAACACATCTACATAATGCACACGTCTTCATCCTGTCTCGTCCACAATACTCTGACTCGTAACTTGAAGCTGGTATTCAATACCCTCTGCACAATCCACTTCTTCTAGTTTTATATCTCCTGGAGATTTTTTATATTCTTATAAATGCACCATGGGGGGCTTGGCGTGAAATGGCATTTCAGTGCGCTGTACACTGCGTATACTGGACAATAAAGACCTCGACTCTTGAATCTTGAATGAATCTTAAAGTTGAGCTACGGTGATTCAAGTGTCATGGTTAAATTTAAGGTGGTATGAACTTGATTAGAGGCAGCATAGCGGTGCTGTGGTAAGAAGGATGTTTTCTGCTCATGTTTAAGGTAGTATGATAGTTTTTGTTGTTTTCTTCAGGACTGCCGGGAGTTGTAGGTCAGAAGGGAGTTCCAGGATGCAAGGGGGTCAGAGGAGATCCAGGTCAGATCTCTACAGAGAAACCCACACCTGGAGAACCTGGAAAACCAGGGCGCCGTGGATTCAGAGGACATAAAGGACAGCAAGGTGTTCCAGGTACCAGACAACAGTGTTTGTCTCTTAGTGTTGTACACCTGTAGGTGCCCGCAGGGTCAGACTGCAGATATTAACAGCAGGTATGGGATGTGTCACTGTCCCAGTTGATTTTTTTTCTCAATAATCTGACTTCCTGTTTGTCTTTAAAGGTACCTACTGTCTCCCTGGAGCCTCAGGACCACGTGGGGACCCAGGTGTGCTCGGACCCACAGGGTTTCAGGGCTCACTGGGAATTAAAGGTCAGTTGTTGGAGACATTGACCGAAATTGTGACTTTTACACCAGTTAAAGGTTTAGAGGGTGGAAGACTGATGAGCTGCTTTTAACCTTAATGTGAAATATGTGCACACTCAGGCCACGTCACATTACCACAGTTTGCGTTTGCTAAATGGGGAAAGAAGAGATTAAAAAAATGAACAATGCTTTTGGCTTTTGTCCCACGATCAGTCAACAGTTTTGTTACGGTACCAACACCCCTGTCCACATTATGCTACGTGAATCGTGCAGCGGTCATTTTATAAACATCAACTGACAAAGTAATTTAAAAAAGGCAATCTGACCTTTTAATGCCAGAAACCAAAGGTATCATCACCATGCTAAAGTCATCACTAGCTGTTTCCTTTAGGTTCTCATTGTACTTTATCCAGATGAGTTTTATTGGATGAAACTTCTGGCTAATGCTAACTTACCAGCTAACCATTTCCAGCTATGAAGAGCATAACCTTAACTTGCTTCCTCACTCATGTTGTTGCTGTGAAGCCTTAGACGGTACGTAGATTTAGCTTTGAGATGTCACCCACTGGTGTGTTAACCCTTTAAAGCCAGTCAGAGCGGGCACGCTCCATTTTGCGCAACTACTTTTAAATCCCAGTAGCTCTGCAACCGTGTAAGCTAGCGCAATAATTTTCTTTGCATATGAAACCGGAGGAGTTGTACTTACATCTTATGCCATCAGCTTGTCCTCGGTCACAGTTTCCTTCCACATATAGCTTTGCAAAAACTGCATAAAAAGCACTTGCTGCAACAAAAATATAATATTCCAGAAACACGCTTTGCTGATCCGATCAGCTGTTCATAACACTTCCTACATTGGCGACGTCCGCCATGACCTGCCCGAAACCAGAAGTGACGTCATTTTTGCGGAAATGTAGTTTCTTTTTACCATCAGGGCCTCATGAGCCTATACTGGTGTTTTTAAAAGTTATCTTTGACTTTATGACTTTCTGTGTCGTTTCTGGGATGCTGAGGACTCATATTGCACTGCTGGAAATAGTTTATTTTGATGCATATGCTGCTTTTTTGCAAATTTGCATTATAATATTTATTTTCGTTTTCCTGCAGTATATAAAAATTGGTGTATTTCAAAAATAAAACTATGAAGACACTCAAAATAAATTTCCTGTGGTGGGAAACTATTTTGTGCAACTTTTTTGTATTTACAGTAGACATATATGTTAACAAAACAAAAACGATTTTCAATTTTTCTGTAGTTTATTGCACTTTTTTGCAATTTATGTAATTACTATGCACTTAATGCATACATATTATTAAAATATAGACTGTAATGCTTGTATTGATGTATAGCAACTTGAAATGCTCCCAGAAATTTCGCTACAGCATGTAAAAATATAATATAAGCTCTGGCGGACTTGGTTCTATGGTAGGTCTTAAAGGGTTAAGACTTCAGCTGAGGACTTCACGGTCTCCAGCACTCGTCGTATTCTGATTGATCTATCGATCTGTGGCTGACTGACTGATTGTGAAACCGCACGCTGTGGCTAACAAATTGTGACTGAGGTATTAACCAATGAGCATGCTCCTAAATAACCTTCCTCTCTTATTCTAAGAATGAGCATAATTTATAAAAACAGACTTAATGTTTTGTTCAAAATGACCTCAAGAGTGAGTTTGGAAATGTGTACTAACGTCTTCAAAGCGAGGGGGCAGAGGGCACTTTTCCCATACACTTCAATACAACTGGAAGTCTTTTGCAGTAACAGGTGTCGCCACCTTCAGCTGTGTCCGTCTGTTATACTGTCTATAGCGAAGACATCCTATGTTGGCCTTAAGTAGAGTCCATGTTGCCCAGACAGCCAGTCGTAGTGACGTTATTAATCAATCAGATCGTTTTGCTAATGTTTGCTGGAAGTGCTCAATAAGGGTTAGAGATCGATCGAACCCTAATTTCTGTGTTTTAGGTAGTTGTGGCAGCTGTTCTTGTGGCCTTCCTCTTGTACTAAGAGGTGCACCTGGCCCTAAGGGTGACTTGGGATTTCCAGGCTTCCAAGGATCCTCTGGACCCACAGGTCCTCGGGGAGAGTACGGTGTTCCCGGAGACACAGGAGAGACTGGTGAGCAGGTAAAGCATCTGAGCAACAAGGTCAGAGGTCATCTGAGCAGCCACCACTGCTCTGTTTATTTGACTGATTGCTTTGTTTACAGGGTCGGGCCGGATTGCCGGGTGTCAAAGGCTTTAAAGGACAGAAAGGAGATTTAACAGTGGAGGATATCGAAGGTGAGTCCCAGTCTGTGCAGCTGTCTCCCAGCACACTTATTATTGACAGTAACATCAACATAACCTCCTGTGAATGCTGCTCCTGTCTCCAGGTGAGAAGGGAAACAAGGGACAGCGGGGCCCTGCAGGCAGACAAGGGTTCCCAGGAAGAAGAGGACAGACTGGGCCCTCAGGGGTCCCTGGAAATCCCGGTTTCCAGGTCAGTCGGGTTAGAAGATAGGAGGAATGAGGATTGGAAGATGTTGTTCAAGACGGGAAAGAGCGAAATATGAGAAGCAATAATGTGAAAGAGTTTCTCAGCAAGTAGTTTCTGTTTCAGATGTGATGAGATGATGTTCACATTACAGCTCACTGATCATGTCTGCGCCGCTTTTCCTTTTGAACGAATGTTTATCAGAATCCTCCGATGGTCAGTTTAAGAACATGTTTCCTGATTGCAGTCCTGTGACAAATTAAGTGGATCCTTGTTGCTTTTATAGGAATTAAGAGAAGTAAATGGCAGCCAGGTGCTGCTGATCAAACGCACCGGTTAACTGATACTTACCAATCGTGAGCATCGTTATAAAAGCAGAATCTTCTAGCAGCTAGTCCGAAGCATTCAGGTGTGCGTTAACAGAAAGCAAAGGAAAGACGTCAGCAGTGATCTTACAGACTAAACTGTTGCTCCAACCTAGGAGAGGTTATACAGCTATTTTCAAACAAGTCCATCATTCTGCAGTGAGAAAGATTATTTACAAGAGGGAAATATTAAGACAATTTTCTCAGTGATGGATGTTCCAGCAAGTTCATCCCAAGATCGGACCATTCGATGCTCAAAGAAACGACAGAAACCTAAGAGCTTTGCCTCATATTCTGAGACACTACAGGCCTCGTTTTCAATTTTAAAGTTCATGACAGCACAGATGGAAAAAGACTGAACAAGTTTGGCTTGTTTGGAAGAGTTTACAGGAGAAAGCCTGTGGACTAAGTGGACTATGAGCTCCTCTGTATACCAACGTAGTCTAGAGTCAAATGTGAGGCCATCTATCCCGAAGCTGAAGCTTGGACCAAACTGGGGCATCAACGGGACAATGATCACAACTGTATGCCAGAAAACACACTGACACCACATCTGTTATATCCATGAATCTGTTTATAACTTAAAGTTGAGCGCTGAGAAATGTGGATGACAAACAGTGAGATAATCAGAATGTCCCTGTTTTGCAGTTGTCCTGCCATCAGTCATGCTGTTCTGTCGCTTGACCTCAATTTGTCTGTTCTTAGGGGGAGAGTTTTTTCAGCTTCCCTGGAGAAAGGGGCCTCAGAGGAACTACAGGGTTAAAGGGATATTTAGGACCTCCAGGTCCCCGAGGACCAGATGCAGATGGAGCTGTGGGAGAACGTGGACTCCTTGGGGATCCAGGACCTACTGGATCCTGTGGCCCCCCGGGGTTAAAGGGGGTTAAAGGTAAGAATCGTTGTTACGAAAAACGTTTGGTTCTCACTTTCTGTGGATTTTACCAGAGTTTTGCAGCTGAATCCATATATACGGTTCTGTTTTCATAGGACTGACCTGAACATTTATAACACCTGTCCTCTTAACATCTGTCAGTGCTGACTCCTTTTAAGGTCTAAGTCCGGGTTTGAGTAGAGTATGTTTCTCAAACAGGATGATAACGTAACATCCGTTGGTCATCTGTGACTCATCGTTTAGGGCAGGGGTGGGGCAGGATGTGTCCTTGATCCATCACAGCTGATTTAAATGGCCAAATGACCTCCTCAACATTCTTGAAGTTCTCCAGAGGCCTGGAAATGAACTAATCATTTGATTTAGATGTGCTGATGCAGGGTGAGATCTAGAACCTGCAGGACACCGGCCCTCGAGGCCTGGAGTTGGACACCCCTGGTTGAGGGTTTGAGATTGGTTTTGTTTTAGAATAAAACACTTGATACAGGCAAATTTAGGAAACTAGATTGAAGTTTCAGACATTTCTGCTTTTGAATTATTCTATTGAACGTGTTTCCAGGGCAGCACGGTGGCGTGTTGGTTCCACCACCTGACTCTGACCTGGTCTGTGTGGACTTTGCATGCTCTCCCTGCGTCTGTGTGGGTTCTTTCCGGGTTCTCCGACACGCAGTTAGTTAGGTTAGGTTAACTGGTGAATCTAAATTACCTGTAAGTGTGTTTGTCCTGTGTCAGGCTGGTGACCTGTCCAGGGTGTACCCTGCCTCTCGCCCCTCTTGTTTTTCCATTTAGGTTTTCCAAACAGGCAGAAATGAAATAAAAAGGAGTCAACTTGAAACCTGTGGGTGTTTACGGTGACGGCCTGAACTCAATATTTTGGAGAAAACCAAACTTAATCTGAAAATACAATTAAATATAAATGAGTTGAGGGTTTTCTTCAGCACTGAGTACTTGTGAAGTTCATAGGAACACTTTCATTAACTTTTTTAGCCAAAACCTTCTAACTGGTGTCTACTTAACCCTCCTCTTCCTCCAGGTGACCCTCCACCCTTTAGACCCATAAGACCAGGTGCCCCTGGAGAGAAGGGAGACCCTGGAAGTGCAGGTAAATTTGATCTGTAACATCTTTATGTTTGCCTGTTTACAGTACTTCCTACTCACCTCTCTCACCTTTCAGGCTACACAGGTTCCCAGGGTTCTCCAGGTTTTCCTGGTGGCATTGGGTCAGATGGACCTAAAGGAGACAATGGGAAGGATGGACTTCCTGGAATACCTGGGAAACAAGGTACCCAAGCAAACCTTCCGCTTCTGTAGCTTCGCCTGTAGGTTACATGAGCAGAAGAGTTACCTTTAATTATTTCCCCTCCTCCTCCTGTAGGACCTCAGGGTGTCACTGGAGATTATGGAGATGAAGGACCTGAAGGCTTCAGTTATGATGGAGATCCAGGTAAGTTCCACAATGCATCAGCACAAACCAGATCTGGTTGATGCTCTGGCTGGTCTGGATACCAATGAATTCTGGAGCAGCTTGTTTCACATCCAACTGTGATCTTGAACTTTGTTCGCCTGGCTCTGGAGGATCTCCAGAAAGTATCCTGAGCGTTAATAGTTAGTTTTCACTGGGAACCACATGGCATATTCTGGAAGCCGAATGAGTTTGTTCCGCAGGAAAAGAGATAAACCTCATCATTCTCAACAGGGCCTGGTTCCTCAATCAACTTAAATTCCCAATTAACTCTAGGATGAACTTCTACGTACCTTCTACAAGGTTAGTTTACAAAACTCTGGGAAGCAAACGAATTCACAGAGATGTCAGAAATTCCTTCAGAAATCTGCCCGGACCAGAAGGAACTCTTCCAGCCTTTCTGTTTTCACTGCTGTGCAGCAACGACCAGCAGAATAATTTGAACAGCTTCAATGGCCGAAAATTAGAGGCTTACTGGTAGGAGTGGGTTTAAAAGATCGATTTCCCCATTCAAATTCTCGATTTTAGTGTGAATAAGGTGAATAAATATCAATTCATTAAATCCTGAATTGATTTTTAAATATAAATGTATTTTGCCAGAAGTGGTAGCATCTTATCTTGAAGCTCACAAAACTATTTCAACAACAGATAAAACGGCTAAAAAGAGAAGCAGGTAAACGGATTCTGCACAAAGATGTAAACGCAGAGCGTGGATCGTCCACAGACGCCGTCGGCGCTGAGAGTCGACGGCTCACAGATCCTGAAGCTGCAGGTTTCGTCACTCTGACCAACACTGACTGAACCAGCAGCAAAAGAAGATCAAACTGCGCTTCACGTTTGATAACCATGCTCATGAGCTCCCTCTGACTTTGGCTGCTGTACTTCCTGCACAGCTCTCTCTCTCTCAGCACTCAGAGACCAGTTTACCATCAAATCTCTGCTTCCTGCATTGTTCTCTGTTTATTAGCCACCAGTCTGCTGCTGTGTTCAGTGCTGTCGGCCTCTGACAGCAAAGCCTCGTCTCTGCTGTTCAAACTGAATGAATGGAAACAAATGACTGCTCAGCTGTGTCTGTAATCAAACCTCATCAGGTCATGTTCACATGTTGATTCGTGGTTTGCTTCAGTTTTTGATCGACTGCAGAATATTTTTAAGGTTTTCTGCTATAAAAAGCCAGAACAGGAAAACCTGCTTCATGTTTCTCTGTTGGATCCTCAGTTACACCTGCTGTGATGCTCACACCTCTGATGAAGTCTCAGTGTCAGCTTTGGTTTATACACAGATATGAAACATGGATGTGTGCTGATAAATCTTTCTAATAATAATATTTATGTCTGAGTCAAAACTTAATCGAATCGAGAACTTGTGATTCAGAATTGAATCAGTTGTAAAAATCAGTGACGCCCTGCTGGCTCCGTGTTTCTGTCTAGTTTCTAACTTTTAAAAAGTGCTCGTTTTAAGTTGCACCCAGTAAAGTCTAAGTCGTGACTGTGATAAGCATCCTAATCTACAAGTCCTTACTCTGTTACTTACCTCTGTGGTGGCAGAAGGTTTGGACTTTAAACCCAAACCATTATGAGCTGTTTCCAGACTGTTTAACTTTATGTGCACCAGGCTCTCCGGGACTTCGAGGCTCTGCAGGTCTCAGCGGACCAACAGGAGACTCTGCTTTTGGGCTCCCAGGCTCTATTGGCTTTCCAGGGACACGGGGCCCTCAAGGACCCAAAGGAGTGCCTGGCGACCCCGGCCAACATGGTCTACCAGGTGATTTACATCTCCGGCTAATTGTACTGATCCACGACATCGTGCTCTGGGAGGTCCATTTACTTTGTATTTTCTGTTTTGCATCACAATTTTCTGTGTACAAGGTAGCGAGATAAACTGTGCTGTGGTTTTACTGCGTGTAAACATATCCCTACCATGTTTAGAATAAAAGCACCAGTCTTGATAACAGCATTTTTAGCTCACCAGTGCATTTTGGTTAAGGTTCAGTTAGCATCCAGCCATTTGTATAAACTCTTCAGCTGTTTGCAAAACCCAAATTACAACTGGTGGATGATGCTGAGTTAAAGAAAGGACACTTGAATCATTTCTTGTTTTTGTACAGGCATCGGTGGTCTCCATGGATGTCGTGGAGCAAAGGGTCAGAAAGGAGATGATGGAGCCCCCGGTATAACTGGCTGCTCAGGACCCACATCGAACCGATGTGATCCAGGAAAACCTGGTACAATGGGCCAGTCGGGCTTTCCGGGATCTATTGGAGCCCAAGGTAAACAAGCTCACTTTATTCACCCGGCAGCTTTTAATGTTATTAGGTTTCACTTAACTTTAGTTTCTTTGGTTATTTTGCTTTTTATCTTTGACAAATGTTTTTTATCACAGTAGTTCCAGTAAGTTCTGACTATGATGTCATCACTTTCAGGTATTTTTGGGGATAAAGGGGAGATCGGCAGCGTTGGTTCTGAAGGAATTGGCCGCAAAGGCTCTGTGGGTGCATCAGGACTTCCAGGTGTCCGTGGAAAGCCTGGTTGTCAGGGCCCCCCTGGACTCAATGGAAGCTCGGGACTTCAGGGCACTGGTGGTCCAAAAGGTGAGTCGTACATATATCCTAACCACAGACTGATTAAGACACTTGTTTTATACATGTACGATTTCATCAGAGGTTTAAAAAGATCGTAAAGATCCTGCTCATTTGATCTATGACCTCACTAAATATTATGCTCTAGTTCCAAGTCTTATTGAATAAAACATGATCACGAGACAAATTTTGACATGTTTAAGGTCTGACTGGACCCCGGGGCTGGGACGGGGTGCCTGGGAACCCTGGAGAGCCTGGTGTCCCCGGAGATCCAGGCATGACTGGAGAGAGAGGGTTCAACGGACGAGATGGTGGTCAAGGAATCGAAGGGCCAAAAGGACAGAAGGGTAGACTGATACAGAGTGATACACTACAATGCTACTGCAGTACCATTACCACATATCTTTACAGTAACATTACAACCAATTGCCACAATTCTACCACAGCACTGTTACTGTGTTCCTAAAGATTACTGCTATTACTGTAAACATGCATTAAGTGAGACTTCCTGTCATTTATGAGGAAACATGGATGTTGACGATCCAGCTAATTCGAGCTCACCTTTTTAAAACATTTCCCGCGTGTCCCCTGCAGGCTTTCAAGGTCCAACAGGCCCTCCAGGACCGACCAACTACATCCGCATTAAAGGAAAGACAGGAGACCCAGGACATCCCTCCACTGTTGGATTTACTGGACCTCGAGGTCAGAATGATACTTTGTTGCCAAGCGGCAGTATCGTGGCCTGGATTAAGCACTAATTGATCAGAAAGTGGAAGGTCACCTGAAAGACTTAGAGTTAGACATAGATGCCACTCACCAAAACTGGAGCTCAGACTTCTTGGATGGTCGGTTAGTACAATTAAGTGCACAACAGCCATATTATTGGTCGGATAATTGGATTTAAAAAATCCCCCAAAAGGCTCCGTCAGCTCAAACAGTCCAGAGGTCCAGTTAATAAAGAACTCTTAGTGCAGTTGTTATGAAGGAGGAAATTATGGACAGAAACCAAAACACGTTGGGTATCGGTTAATTCTTTACTTATCTCCATAAAGAGCGTGGAATCTTTCCCATGATGCTTTGGAGGTTCTGTGTGACAGATCGACTTTGTCCGCACTGAACTTTCTGATTTCCAACATTTTTTTTCACTACAGGAAGCAAAGGTATGCAGGGAGCAGCAGGCAAGTCAGGGCATCCAGGGTGCGACGGACCCCCGGGCATTGTAGGACCCCCCGGGCCCCCTGGACCCTGTGGCAAACAGGGGCCTGCGGGACTCCCGGGACTGAAGGGGTTTGAAGGATACTGTGGCTTTCCCGGAAGCGTTGGAGATCCAGTAAGGCAGCTGAAGACATCACTCGACTGACCCAAATTAAAAGCTTGATGAAGAAAGTTGCAGAAGCTGCCCTTTATCTCGATCGCCATTTGTGGTGCATGTGAAAGCATTTTGTAGTCATTCATCAGACTTGCTGTGCACTTGCACCTCGGGAGTCATGGTTAACATCCTTAGGCTGTTTGTACCTTCGCCTTTTTATTAAAGAACCAGATATCCAGATGTTTCTCATATACATTGATGATTTAGGGCCCAAGCCATGCTGCCATCTGGGCCAACCAGGGTCACCTAAGAGGATAATAACATGGATAAAAAGTCAACTACAGCAACTTTTTCTTCTGTATGAAAGAATCAGAGTGTTTGGATGCTCTCAGCTGCGACTCAGGATATTCAAGCCCAGCCAGGAGGAAACAGTTTTTAAATGATTTTTTATGTTTACCTATTTATGTTTCTGAGCTGCTCACAATCACAGGTGAAGATAAATCTGGTAAATCAAAAGCTTTACCTCAGGCCTCGGTTCTCCTCCTGTGGTCCAGTACAGTGCCTACATTACTGCTAACATTCCAGCAAATAACTTTACAGTTAAACTCTATTGTTTGGGGTAGCAAATGACTGAAAAGGCCATTTAGTTTACAATAAATACTTGGGAAATTAGCAAAAAGAGCACTCTTTGCCTTGAAGTGGTCCTTGAAGTGGTGCACAGTAAGCTTTTCAGTTTAAGACTTTGATTTGCTCAAAAAATGTTCAGAAAGAGTTGCAGGAAATATTGATCTGTTAATTTTGCGATTGCAGGGTGACAAAGGATGCTCAGGGAAACCTGGTGAGCCTGGTCCCCCAGGATGTAAAGGTCCCAAAGGTACAAGGTCACCCAGTCATGGTAATGTTTTTCATGTGTTCCTTTGTTGTGCAGGCTGTAGTGAAGAGTGTGCTTGTGTTTCAGGTAATAAAGGGGAGTCTGTTGGTTGCTCTGGTCCAAATGGAGAAAGGGGGCCTCGTGGAGACAAGGGGCACCTAGGTGATGATCTGTTTCTGGCTGTGCAGCGTGAAGTTTGATGTTTGAGCTAAAAGTAACCAGAGTAAGGAAAAAACAGGAGAATGAATCAGGTGTTAATTCCTGTTTCTCTTCCTCTCAGGACCTCCTGGATCTCCTGGAGATCCGGGAGGGTTGGGTTTTACTGGGGCTCCAGGAGAGAAAGGATCCAAAGGAGAGAAAGGACACCATGGAAACATCGGTCCTGGAGGTACATAGATGTATTTTCAGTGATAAAGAGTGTATAACTCATTGGTTATCCATGACCTTATTAAAACTGTTTTCTCTGTCAGGTGTGATTGGGCCCCCAGGTCCCAGGGGTCAACCAGGTACTCCAGGTATTGAAGGTAAAAGTGGGGGTGATGGTCCTCCAGGACACGAAGGCTACCGAGGACTCAAAGGTTAGAACCTACTTTAAAGTCAGTTACTTTACAATTTCAAGTAACGAGGATTAAAGGACGGTTAATCTGGAGCCTTTAGTTTTTTTAACATGAGTCAGGTTGCTGGTTCGGCGCTTCAGAGGTCGAGATAGAGACTGTTCAGATCAAATTTCAGCTGTAAATCAAGTCTTTCTTCAGCTTTAGCATTAAACTTGCTCTGTAAGATTTCCGTTTGGCTTTGCCAGGTAACAATATGTATGTACACACTACCAGTTAAAGGTTTTAGAACACCTGATGTTTCAGTTATTCATTATAAGTCAAGTCGTTCAAGTCCAGTGAACAGCTTGAAATGGTACGAAGGGAAAAGTGGTGAACTGCCAGAGGTTAAAAAAAAACTAAGGTTACCCAAAGCTGAAAAATAATGTACATTTCAGAATTATGGAGGTTGATCAAGTCTTGAAAGCTGATGCTACCAACTAACTCCAGCTACAGCCCCCTCTGTCTGCATAAAGCAGTGCTGGACACACTGTGGTAGCATTCACTCGTCAGCATCAGCTGAACAGTACTGTACTGCAGAAAGTAGTGTGATGCTACAAAAAACGGTGAGAAAAAGGAAATTAACAAGAGAGACAGACCATCATAGAAATGTGGGTGTGTCCTACAGAGACTGCAAAGAAAGTCAAGGTGTCAGCGAGTCCAGTTTCCTTCAGCATCAAAGGCTCAGAAACAAACTGACAGGAAGAGGTCTGCAGACCCACAGACACGAATGAATCACACACGTTTCTGAGAGTTAACAGCTGTGTGACGGCGGCTCACAGGACAACAGCTTCAAGAAGCTAAATAGTGGTCGTAGTGAGCAAGTCTCAGTTTCAGCTGTGAAGAGAAGACTTCGAGCTGCAGGTTTGACGGGACGAGCTCCAGAAAGAAAGCCAGACGTCAGAATGAGACAAAGAGGCTGTCTGGGCCACGATTAGACTACTGAAGGCTGGAAGAAGGTTTTATGGACTGATGAATCAAATATGAAATCTTTGGTTCATCACGCAGGATCTTTGTACGCTGTCGAGTAGGTGAAAGGATGGTACCAGTGTGTAGCATGGAGCATGGAGGAGGAAGAGTGACGGTCTGGGGCTGTTTTATCGAGCTGGTTTGGGATGAACTGGACAGAAGAGTGAAAGCAAAACAACCTGCAAGCCACCATCATGGGACCTTCTGCTACAGATGTGGGACAATATTTGATGTCTATTGTAGAAAGTCCACGGGTGTGTTCAGCTGTTAGATCTGAACTTATTTACAACAAAATTGAATATTTTGGTGTAAATAAGCCAAAGTGTGATGTCCACATATGTGGACGCCAGGTCCTAGGAGGTTAAGGCATGTGGAGCATGAAGTCACCAAACTCCAGCCACCTTCAGCTCTTCACTATAGAAACTCCAACGAGCTGTTCCTCTGCAGCAGAAAAATAAGTATCAGGCTAGTTTCACGAGGCTCTGTAGGTTGTTAGGCGGGCTTTTTCTAACAGCAAAGAAAGAACATTTTTGTTTCTAAATCTGCTACAGGTATTTTAAAAACGCAAGAACAATGAATTTAGATACAGCATTTTAGAGAGTTTTGCACGAATTGTACTGACTGTAGCAAAAAAAAAGAGGAAACAAAAAGAAATATCCACAGACATTGTGGGTCCCTCAGATCTGCAGAAACAGTGTGTGAGATGGTTTTGTTTTGTTGTGCCAGGTCCTCCTGGACCGCTGGGACTTCATGGACTGGACGGACTGAAAGGAGAGAAGGGGGCCACTGGGACCAGAGGTACACACACACACGCACACACACACACGCGCACGCACGCACGCACGCACACGCACGCACGCACGCACGCACGCACGCACACGCACACGCACACCAATTCAATTTTATTTATATAGCGCCAAATCACAACAACAGTCGCCTCAAGGTCTTTATATTAAGGTAGTAATGTCGACCCTACAATAACACATACAGAGAAAAACCCAACAATCATATGACCCCCTATGAGCAGCACTTTGGCAACAGTGGGAAGGAAAAACTCCCTTTTAACAGGAAGAAACCTCCGGCAGAACCAGGCTCAGGTGAGAGAAGGAAGACAGGATAAAGACATGTTGTGGAAGAGAGACAGATGTTAATAACAGATATGATTCAATGCAGAGAGGTCTGTTAATACATAGTGAGTGAGAAAGGTGACTGGAAAGGAAAAACTCAATGCATCATGGGAATCCCCGGTAGCCTACGTCTATTGCAGCATAACTAAGGGAGGATTCAGGGTCACCTGGTCCAGCCCTAACTATATGCTTTAGCAAAAAGGAAAGTTTGAAGCCTAATCTTGAAAGTAGAGATAGTGTCTGTCTCCTGAATCCAAACTGGAAGCTGGTTCCACAGAAGAGGGGCCTGAAAACTGAAGGCTCTGCCTCCCATTCTACTTTTAAATACTCTAGGAATAACAAGTAGGCCTGCAGAGCAAGAGCGAAGTGCTCTAATAGGGTGATATGGTACTACAAGGTCATTAAGATAAGATGGGGCCTGATTATTTAAGGCCTTGTATGTGAGGAGCAGGATTTTGAATTCTGGATTTAACAGGAAGCCAAAACAGGAGAAATCTGCTCTCTTTCTAGTCCCTGTCAGGACTCTTGCTGCAGCGTTTTGGATCAGCTGAAGGCTTTTCAGTGAGTTTTTTGGACATCCTGATAATAATGAATTACAGTCGTCCAGCCTGGAAGTAATAAATGCATGAACTAGTTTTTCAGCGTCACTCTGAGACAGGATATTTCTAATTTTAGAGATGTTGCACAAATGGAAGAAGGCAGTCTTACATATTTGTTTAATATGTGCATTGAAGGACACGTCCTGGTCAAAAATGACTCCAAGGTTCCTCACAGCGTTACTGGAGGCCAAGGTAATGCCATCCAGAGTAAGAATCCAGACAATCCTGCAATTTAACTAACTGGTGTGTTTCATACTCCAACAAAGTAATATATTAACATTTTACACAGAACATTTTTCTTTACAATGCAATAATGCAGTATGTGACATTACTTTGTTTTTTCCCTAAAATGGTCCCCGTACCCCCCACCCCCATAAATGAAAGCATTCCTCTGCAGATGATCACAGATCAGCCTATAATTAGAGCAGCTGGGTCAAGCTGAATAAAAAATGTTGTTGAGGTGGTCGTTTTCAACATTTACATGGGTGTTAAAATCCCCCACAATATTTATTTTACCTGAGCTGAGCATCGCATTCAACAGAAACTCTGAGTAAGGCCCAGGTGAATGATAGATAACAAAGGATAAAACTGGTCTCCAGCTAGGGTAACCAAGGCTAAGAGTCAACCCTACGTGTGATGTCCACATATGTGGATGCCAGGTACTAGGAGGTTAATAAACTGGAGAGCAAGATTGCTGGCTGCCACTTCTCCTCTTGGGCAGGTCCGTTGAGCATTTTAACAGTTATTATTCTCATTATTCTCATTATTATTATTCTCATTTAAAGTAACATTTTCCTCCCGTAGTAACCAGTTCTCTGCTAGCTCTTCTAAATCAATATCTTGATCAATTATTAAATAGTTTTCTGATACGGATTTAGAAAAGAGAGATCTAATGTTTAATATTTTCACTGTTTTACTCTTTGGTTCAGATGTGGATACTGTATTGTTCTTTCTTTGTAATTGTTTATGTTTAAGTTGTTTGTTGCTGGTTTTTAGTTTGTTTTTGTCTGTTTGGGAGCTGACACAGTCTCTATGGAGATGGGTTTTTGGGGGGGTAGCAGGAGGAGAGAATCTGCAGAGAGGCGTGTAAGACTGCAACTCTGCTTCCTGGTCCCAACTCTGGATAGTCATATTTTTGGGGAATTTAATAAATTTGTCCATATTTCTAGAAATGAGAGCTGCTCCATCCAAAGTGGGATGGATGCCGTCTCTCCTAACAAGACCAGGTTTCCTCCAGAAGGTTTGCCAATTATCGATGAAGCCCACATCGTTTCTGGGACACCACTCAGACAGCCAGCAATTTAAGGAGAACATGCGGCTAAACATGTCACTCCTGGTCTGATTGGGGAGGGGACCAGAGAAAACTACATTGTCTTGGCAAAGTTACACACGATTACATATTATTGTTGGTAAGTTCTGGTTCAGGCAACCAGGTGTCGCTGCTGTCAATGTGAATTATAATTTCACCAAATCTGTTTATTCTTAGCCAACAGTTTCACGTTTCCTTCAGTGTTTCCTGCTCTGGGCTCTGGATCAATGATGGCCACTGGAGCCTCTAGCTTCACATTTCTAAGAACACTAAGAAAAGTTCTGCATGTTCGTGTTGTTGTAATGTCGTCTGGTATATTATTAGATTAAATCTATAAAGTTGTGTAAAAAAATGAACTTATCCTGGCAGAGTTGGGGTTCAAAATTCTGACTGGGTTTAGTTCAGAAAGGTACAGATTTTGTTTTAGAGATCTTGACCAAAGGTCCACCTGCAGAGCAGAATATAGCTGTTGTTATTGTGAACTTACTAATGATTATGAGACATTAATTCTCCTCATAGATCTTAAAATTACTTTCTATAAATTCTATAACACATTTTCATTTGGTCTGTTTTTTCAGGTCGGGGCTTTCCAGGTGTTGAAGGTTCCTTGGGTCCACCAGGAGATAAAGGTCCTCCAGGGCATCAAGGTCTTTGCGGCACATCTCAACCTGGACCACCAGGATACAAAGGCCCCGTCGGAACCAAAGGTCTGTACCAATATGATGATCTCTTAAATAATTTCCCCCAGGGATTAATAAAGTATTCTGATTCTGATTCTTGCTGAATTGCTGAATATGTCAATCTAAAAATCCTACCTTATCCTTTATTCTTGGTCAGTTATACGCCTCTCTGTGCTATTGTAGGGCCTCCAGGTAAATGTGGACCTCCAGGTAAACTTGGACCAGACTGCAAAACTCCTATCAAAGGGCCCTGTGGAGATCCTGGCTGTCCAGGCCAAGATGGAGAGCCAGGTCAGACTTGAGACTAACTTTTTAAAATCAGCCATGTCATTATAACCTAAACATTTCTTAATAGGTTATAGAAAGGTTCACGATTATCCAGCAATTTTCATGTTTTTGGCATTTTGTAACAGAAGATTTATACGGCCTAAATGCATGTAAGAGATTTGAAAGGTAACATCTTCTAGTTTATGAAATTATACTCATTCAGTGGCTAAAATGCTTCTTAGCCCTAGTTAATATTCAGTTTTATTTAAATTTAAGTGACAGATCATGCTGGATGACCTCTGACACGGGACTGATGTTTCAGGGAGTCTTGGTGAGATCGGGGATCCTGGTCAAAACCCTCCAATTCGTGGGGATATTGGGGACAATGGTAACGTGGGATGCCAAGGGCCAAAGGGACCAAGAGGATGCCCAGGACATATAGGAACACAAGGTTGCACTGGATACCCAGGACAGAAAGGTTAGAGTCCAACAAAAACAACACAACAAAAATGATGCTGACACTTATTCTGTTGGTCACAATTCACTTGACAACCTGACAGATCTCAGTTGTGGGTTACATGAACGTGTGCGGTGTGGGAATACATTAGCTGGTATATTATTAAGTGAATATCTTGATTGACCCTATTACTGAAAAAAACAACTAAAAGTGATCTTCATTAGATGACAGATGATGGTTGGGTTACAAAGGGACAACTGATAACTGTTTGTGGAGATCATAGCATTTCTACTCGTTGGTGTGGAGCTGTAAGTCATCTTTTGTCAGTCCTTCAACAACAAAATTCTGAGTGTTGCATTTCTGCTGAAATGATAAATTCAGACTTTATTCAGACTTGCAAACTACATCCATGTGTGTGTTGTTCTGCCATACCAAGCACACCAAGTCCTGATATCAAGATGGCGCCAGTGTGTACGGCTTGCCGTTTGATTCTGTTCGTACTAGTGTTTTATTTTTTCTTTGTTTTAAAACATGCTAACTCTCTGCTTGTATATGATCGTCAAATGCTGCTGGCTATAAGATCCTCTCAGTTAAAAACTCTTTATTGCAATCGTGGATATCAGGGAACCTTCCCCCCAGCACTCCTGTCAGGAGTTCCAGCTTGTCTCCGTTGCGTTCTGGCGCTACCTCAACTGAGAGGGCGCCGTAGACTCCGTGGGAAACGCAGTGGCTTATTGGTGAGAATGAAGGCTACCTGAACACTGTTTCGAAAAATACCTCATCCTATCCCGACTGGATTTGACAGCGTCAACTACTGGCACTCTCTGGACACAGCTTACACCTGCCTGACACGTGTTGTCGGGCTTACGACAATAACCCCGGGCCAGCGTCCCCCCCGTCTTCGCTCAGGTGGAGTAAACCCTCAGAATCTACGGCCGATAGGCCGGGCACCCACATCGGCCGCTGAGCCACCTGTACCACTGAGATTAAGTCTTGTTAATGCACGATCGCTA